ACTATTTACTTTTAAAGCACTATTAATATCGTGACTTCATTTTAAAGCTTGTCTCATATTCCATCGGCCCTTTCTGGTTTATTTTTTTATTTAATATCACCGACATGTCACTGAAACAGATTATGACGCCTTCCCTGGCCGCAAGACGAAGAACCCTAGTGAGAGTATGAAAGGAATGCTAGGAACATTTCCTACCATTTCTCTGCAGTACTTACAGTAGAAGCCCCGTGCGTCCCACGTCAATCTTTAGATGTGGTCTCTTTCTCGATTAGTAATTTGCAGGAAATATAGGTACTAAAAATTACTTAGAGTAATGGCTGCCTGGCTATTAGTGTATTGAAAGCGTAGCTGGATCTTTCAAAAAAGATGATTGTAAAAAAAAGCAACATTAATGGGAAAGACACAAGTACTAAGATAACGCAATCTGGTGGAAAATTCAGAGGTGATGAGAAAATTGTTTTACCTATAAAAACAGATTTATCAAAAATAAATTCATAATGCCACCCGTTAAAACCAGGTTTTGTAAAGGAAAATAATGCGGACGTTGGAGCTCATCAGAGCTGCAAACTGATGTGAAAACATAACCATGTGGTGTTTGTGTCAACTTTCCTTATCCACGGACATTCGCGTCTTTTCTATAATAACAGGACCTTCACAATACAGTGCTGAACCCTGTTAATCCGGTCGCAAACGGGCCAATTTATTGTGGCTGTATTATCGCGGTGGCTGTGTTAAAGGGATTCTTTAATAGGAAAATGACTCAGTTAGCTTTTGTTCGGACCAAAATAAAGTGGCCGTAATGAAGAGGTGGCGGTATAAATGGGGTGGGGTTTCATATACGTTTGTTCCTTACAGTATGTTATATCCACAACAGGTGCTAATGGGTTGTCTGAAGCTTTCGTCTCGTTGATAGCCATTGCTGTGGTTCTTTTTGTTGTTGTCATTGTCCTGCTTGTTTTGAAGCACAAGAGAAAGACAAATACATACAACATCAATAAAAAGGTAAGATCTTGCATTCGTTTGCAAGTATACATATTTTGTACTATTCAGAGGACCTTTCAATCTTTGTAGAAATGGGCGTACCCCTTTCCCCTCTTTTAGGGCGGCTCTCTATAGTTTTACGATTGCACGCGCGCATAGGACAAAAGCTCAAGTAATCTGCGCGCACTCAAAAGAAAACGTAAGTGTTTTTCGATTTTTATGACGCCAACATGAGGACAAAAAGCAAAACTGACTTTGAATTTTAAATTTGGCTCAGTTGTAACCACCTACAATTCCTATAAAATGCTCTGTTTTTGTTGAAATTTGTCAGAGCTATTTTAATACATTTAGAAGAATGAAAAATGACAGAATATTGGAAAAGCCGTCTGACCAACCTTGACTTTTTGCCAATTAAAAATGTCAGGCAATATCATTTCCATGATGTGGCAAAGTGTGAAAAACTCTCACCGAAGGAAAGTATAAATATTAAGGAGTTTAGGCCAAAATGATGAATATATCTGCCTGTCATTAGATGCGATGTTGCCATGGTAACGGCCTTAATCCAAAAATAAGCCTTATTTTAACAGTATCCATACTGGTAAGTCTCTACAGGGAAATCTTTGAAAGAAATTCACCAAGTTTCCTTTTCTAACTCGCGCTCTATAGGCAGGGTGTTGATAAATACTCTAGGGAGCCACCTTAACACTACCCTTCCGACCTAAGAAAACTGATAAGGAAAAAGTATAGCGTAAAAAATGAACGAAAATAACATATGCATGCTACTATTTTATCATCAAAACTATTCTATAACTCGCCAAGTTGAAAGTCATTCAAAAGTAGAGAGGAAAACGTTTAAAGAAATAAATCTTACTTGCTTTTCGAGGGGCGGAAACGGAAAAAGGGAGAAACCCTTTCGGGGAAGGCGTAAGTTTTATAATTTTGTTCAGAATGTCACACTGCTAGATATTTTGAGAAAGCACTGCCGAATGCTGTATAAAAGATCATTACATTCCTGATTTTACCAAAAGCAACCTCCTTTAAATTTTTTTTTTTTCATATCTTTCAAATCTTAAATCCTTCCTTTAAATCCTTAAGAAACTTTCTAGATCAATAATTACTAGCACTTTTTGAAAACAGCGAATAAAAGCCAAACAAGAAATCACCCAGCTTGAAATTGAGAATGACGGAGATACAATGAAACGGTTGAGAAAAAACCGACCCATTGCAAGTGATAATGCTGAAGATGGCTCGCGCTATGTCACGAATGAAAATCAAGTCATCGATAACGAGACTTACTTACAAAATATGGCATTTGAAAGAAACTGGGAAATATCTCGAGACAGGCTGACAATATCAATTGAGAAACTTGGTGGAGGAGAGTTTGGAATTGTGAATAAAGGAGTATATCTAAGGACTGATGGGAATGAACTCCTGGGCTGCGAAAAAGATGGATGATCACTCTTGGTGCCGATGAAGAGCACAAGTTATCCGGATCCGAGAGCTTTATTCATTAGCAACAAATACAATCTCAATTCTAGCTTTTGATTGGATTAAGAGTTCAGAAGTTAGAAACCAGCAGCAAAGATATGTTAACTGAGTTAACTGATAGACGCATGTGTTTTCTGACATAAGGAATTACTTTTGCTTTTCAATATCGGTGTTATCTTCTTTAAATCAAAGTTCTCTTCTAACTGTTTTTAAGGCGACCAATAGTTGATGGAAAAGAGCTTGTGACTGTAATAGCTGTAGTGATAGTCGTTACCCATTTTTATTACAGGACTAACTACGTTTAGAAGGCCAAACTAAATTCATCCAATAATCCGATTGCCCAATTACTTTTCTGATATACATTAATGCTCCCAGCCCATGAAATCAAAGTAGACAACAACAACTTTTGATGGGAGAAAAGGGGTAGGGGATGAAGTGCTCGAGTTGCCCATACGAATCTTATAGGATGACACGGGTCAGGTGGTTGGCACCGAGAGAGCCTAAACAATAAGAACATTATTAGGCGACAACAACCAGGCTGCAGAGAGGTCCTAATCCTCTCCCTGGGGTACTAATCCCCAGCCCCCCGCCCCCCTGGAAAGAGGGGTAATAGTCCTTTCCCTCCTTTCCAGGAGTCCCTGTAGTCCCTAGGCTACTGAGAAGTCCTAATCCCCTCTCTGCGGTCTTAATTCCCAGGCCCCCGCTGGGAAGAATCAGCACAACAAACAACAGAGGTTTGGTTCCTTGGTAACAAGGCTATGTGGGGGGGCCCTTTCTGCCACGATGGCTTGCCATGTGAGTCTATGTCGCAAAGGGGCGAGCTATATGGAGCACTTCATCCCCTCCCATAGTTTATTTATTCTAAGAAATCAAACAATCAGAAAGTTCTAAGCCTGTTAAGCTAACAAATCAGTGGTCATTATCTGTTGTGACCAGAAGCAAAGAACAAAATACGTGAAGGCTGATACCAGCTTCAAGTCAGTGTTATAACATTTGTAAATAAAGCTCAATGAGCAAGCATGGTCCATGTGTCCAAAACAGCACTTGGCATGACACTAACAGTAACAATTATAACAATGTCTCAATGAGCAAGTATGTATGCTGCTCAAGTCCAACAACACTAAGCTAGATAACTACAACTGCTGCATAGCAGTATGATTATGTGTGGCAAAACAGTTGATAAAACTATACTTAGTCGTTAACGCTATGCTCAAAGAGAACCAAATGGGTTTGGGTGGGCGGGAATTTTTCACAACACTCTGAGAGGTCAGAAAACTTGAATTTGAACTACAGATGTGAAGATAAGACCACATGGTCTTGATTTACATAATGGAAAAGCATAAATATGATTGGCCCGGGAATAACACGCCATAATGACGCGAAAGGTGAATTTGACCTTTCGACACAATGAGAAGGTGTTTGTCTTACCGTGATATTGCGTGACAGAAAGGTATATTAAGAATATATGGGTCATATAACTTCTGTAGC